TTATACACAAACTCCGTCCACCCAATATAAAACCCCCCTTACCCCCTTAACCCCCCATTAAATAAGGTGGAATACTATTGTTTTTTACCATATTATTATTGGGTTTCATTTTTTAGCCCCTCTTCACCCTTTAGCCCTTACTCAATTTTTAGGAGCTCCGCTCAGCGTCCCTCTTAAAAAGGTTAAACTCAATTGATTTTTATTTTATTTTTATTATGTTAAATTATTGTTTATCCCCCATCCACCCCCGTCGCGGTTATATAATCCTGTAACCAGATAAACCAATAAACCTCCCTCACAATTTTAAAAAACTCCCTCCAGGCACCCTTTAGCTGCATCTCTAAATAAAGTAACATTATGTAGGTTATGATATTTATATAAGCTTATTGATATTTATGATATTTATAGCTTTTTATATACTTTTTAAGAAACCCACCTTAAGCCCTTTACAATTTTTAAATACATTGTCTGAGCTACGCTTCCATTTTTGTTCTATTGCTCTTCAGTCGTTTTCCTTCCTGAATAATTACTTTATCTACATAATTTTTTAACTTATTTTCACACCATTCTTTAGGTAGTGCGATGGGACTTTAGTTTGTTTTATCTTTTATTCTCAATAAGTTTATAAGTTGCATGACTTCATATCAACATAAAAATTAATCCAATTTGTAAATTAAGCTAATACGAAAAAAAGACTTCATTAGTATTGTTTAGATGTGTAATTGGAAAACTATTGTCAATATCACTATCAGATTTATTAAAACCCCCGAAAGTAGCATGATTTACTCTGTGACATGTTTTCATTTTTTCTTATAGACGATTAAGATTTTTATTGCTCAAAAAGTAAGCATGTTCTTTATGAGAAGTGAGTATAAGATTACTTATTAAAAAGTTGATATTTTTACGAAAAATATCGGAACAAACGTCAGTTGCTTACCATTTATTGAGAATTTTCAATAATTCAATTCTTCTCTCCCCAATGTCTAATAATAATTTTGAAAACGGTTCGTCAATCAAAACCTTTTTTGGGAATTATTCGGAGTTTTTTTTAATTCGAAAATTGAATTTAGCTGCAATAAAGCATTATTTTCTTTTTCTTTTTTAAAATCTTTAATAGAAATTATTTCAATTTTTTCCATAAATTTTTGCGTTAAATATCTTAAGACATTAAGAGCCACGCAAAAAATTTTTTCAATTGGCATGGCAGCACAACGTTACCAGCTCCTTAAACAATATTTTGAATTTGAAAATCGTATTTCACTAAACCTTAAGAAATAGCAGCATCTTTAAGTGTATTATAAAGTATTCCATCAACTCTTCGTAACATTTCAAAAATCTCTGCCATATTGATAAGGGTTTAAATTAGTTTATATAAAAAATGCTTTGCATTTTTAGAAGACTCTATGTTAAGTCGATCTATTGTTAAGTTTTTTTGAACTCTTTCTTTTTTCATCCAAGTTTTTGCCACTGAATTAAAACAGTAGTATTCTATAATATCAACACAGCGGATTTCGTTGTGCAACATTCTGGCAAAGTGAATGTCGAAAGTTTTATTGTTGTAAACGTGAAAGAATATTCCTACTTGTTTCAAGTCTATATAATAATAATAAATTAAAGCAACTCTTGAAACGATGATGATTTTAGATATTTTATTCGATATGTGAATAATTTTTCCTCTTTTGCATAATATAGTGGCAATGTTTTAATTGATAAAAAAAAATTTTCAGAATTAAAAAATTCAATGTTAAACTTGTCACATGAAACCTAAATCTCTTATAATCAGTCCTAATAATCTTTTTTGCAGTTTTTTATATGTATACATGTGTTACGACTTCACTTCTACAGAAAAACTTTCCGCATACAAGCGTATTTTTATAAATTTTTATTTTTTGTGTGTAACATTTTCATTTGTATCCGTGCTATTTCTTGACTTACTATTTTTTACAAACCATAATTTATGATCTTATTTCACTAAAAATTTTTTGTTGTTTTTTAGAATTTGTGATGTTTATTTTATCTTGTAATTTTCTTTTTATAAAATTATAATAATTTTGGCTTATAATTTCCTTTAGTTTTTTCTTAATCTTTACATTATTATGTTATAATAAATCAGAATTTCCGCTGTCATTCTAACCAGAAAAAAGTGTAAAATTTGAGTTACTTTAATTATTTCCAATACTATGAGTGACATTTAAACTTTCATATTAAATTTCAACAAAACTTTTTAATTTAACGTCTGTTCAGAAAATACCATTTCTTTTTATTAAAATATTAGGATTCAATACACGTCACTTTTTTAAGTATAAGATCACGTCACTCACAATTTAAGACTCAGAATGAAGCAGTTATATAAAATCACACAACTCATATTTTGAGATAAAGTTTTGGGGGGTTGGCAATTGTAGTACACAGGGGATCGAAGCTCCATTAGTGTATGTATGTATGTATATATTAATAAAAGAAATTAAAGATAGGTTATTTTTTAGAAAAGGGCATTAGTCGGGGCCCCTCTACTACCGTCTTTTTTAGAAATATCTTCTTCCCCTCTACAATTAGATAGACCGCAGAAAATAGCTCAAATACTATCAGATAGTAAGTCACCACGTCGATTGAAGAGCTTTTCCTATTTTAAAACAACATTGAAGTTAGGAACCTACAATTTTACGGATTACTCTTTAAATTTTATCTCTGCACTGTACGACTATGGCTGACATTTAATCCATGAAAACACTGCTTATATACTCTCATGGTTGCACATTTTCAGACTCGCACAGTACAAATACGATAATTTCCTTTTCCAGAGCTTAGTCGTGATCCAACTTTCGAAAAGTGATGGTCATACATAAGAGAGAATGGGGTTTTCTAAATAAGGTTGTAATCACTTTACCCGGTGAACTTTATCTGAATCGTAAAAACATCGAAGCTTGAAACTCAACAGGTTGTGTCTTAGCCGAGAAAGCTTAGTAAAGAGTCAAAGCCAGAGATTCAAGTATTGGAGAAAAAGCAGCCACTCTAGCAATTGTGAGTACTACGAGGCTTAAAAGCAAATTAGATAGGGGAGTGGAAAGTCAGAAGAAACCGAGCAGTATTTTGCGTACAGTCATTTAGACTGCATCATGGAAAATAAATAGCAAAAGCAAAGATGCACACAAGATTGTACAGGGTGACATAGTGCAGTTAAGAAAATAAGTGGTAAAAAAGCGTAAATATACTATGTATCTCACCTCTTCCTGCTCAGACTGTTAGTGCTCGTCCACTAATACCCATATTTTTTGGCTTAAATGCAACCGATGCACTTTAGCTAATGGTACAGCTGCAATATTAAAAAGTTTAAGTACTAGTAAGGCTTTTAAACAGCAGCTGCAAAAAAAGCCAAAATAAAACTATAGAGACCATTGTACTTGGGAAAGGTCTCAAACTTGAACCATATTAAACTGTATTAGGTGTCTACTTGAAGTCATATGTTGGAAGAGGTTAAAGTAAAAAAAATCAATGAAACAAAAATTACTGATTCAGTTTTAACCAATATTGATTTACTTAAATATGCTAAAAAACTAATAATTTCCAAATTTCGTGAGGTATTAATACAAAACAACTTACCTTTGAATGGGCCACAATATCGTGAAACTGCCAGCGTTAATGTTGACGATAAGAGTGGACCTGGAACTCATTGAGTAACTTATCTAAAATGTGGAAATAATGTTACTTACTTTGACAGCTTTGGCGATGTGTAACCACCTTTAGGTTTGGTGCTCTACTTGGGAGTTGACAAGGTTAAGTATAACCATTAAAAATATCAAGACCTTAATTTTTTTATTTTGATCATTTGTGCTTACAATTCTTATTGAAGAGATTGTCAAAAAGTACATAAGGTAGTGTCATAATTAGAAATCATTCATTTGCTCTTCAGCAATCATAGAAGACACATTAACACTTAGTCTATCTGGTACTTCTTTTGTATCAGAAGCGCAGTACACTCTTCCCAAAATAGAACTACGTGTTTGCCTAAGTAGATCTTCTTACATTTAATTTGATTCAAAATATTGACGAAGGTAATAATAAATTTCACATAGGTAATCAAGTGGTCGTTTTTCCAATAGGTAGCTACGAAATTCGAAATATCGAGTCATTTTTAGTGGACGTATTACGGCCTAAGGATATAACTATTGATATTAAACCCAACAATAATATACTTCGTAGTGTCAAAACGTGTAATAATATTATCGATTTTAGACCAAAAGATTCTACAGGAAGATTTTTAGGTTTTACTGAACGAGTTTTAGATGATAACGTCACCCATAACTCAGGCTTATCTGAGGCTATTTTTAAAGTAAACGCATTACGAGTTGAGTGCAATATCACTATTGAAGCTTTATGAACGGAAAGGGGTTCATACAATTCCCGAATTTTTTTCAGCAGTTACACTAGGATATTAAATTATTGAAGTTCCTTCAGAGATAAGTTATTTATTGATTGTTGTGTGCACTACTAATCACATACAATTATGTATAGTTGACCAGGACGAAAAATTGGTTAATTTTCCTGGAGAAGTCGTAACGATACAATTGCACATAAGACCCTCACAGTAATACAAATCGTACACAACCCTAAAAGGTATATAAGCAGCTTGACATGCACTTCAATGCTCAGTTGACAATAAGCATCTAAACTGTCAATACGTCAACGGAGATTACAGCTGTAACGTGAAAAGCTAACGCATCAAAACATTTAATTTCTAAAAAGTCTAGGATTAAAAATAAGGCCCTGGTGGAACCTAACTTGTATACTCTTGATTGGTTTTAGTAAGCATGGAAGAGATTCTAAGCATTCAGTTATGTGTGTGCTACCGTCACGCAGTTTCCTTTTCGTTCATGAGAGTTTAATGAAATCAGACAGTAATACGACAACAGCAAGTACTCGATTGTTGAACAACGCTATCTGCCATCTGTTTTAAGAAATCAGATATGAGATAAATTCTATAGAGATAGATAAATTTAAGAATGTGGACGCTCATGAAAAGTTGGCTCACACTCAGTCCTAGTCAGGATCTAATGACGGAAAATGCAGGTTAGTTTGGAATTTTGGATGAAACAACTCTAACTAATATTAACGGCTACTTTGGTAACCTTCATTCCTCTAAATATAATATTATTAAGTTTTGCTGAAGACTATTCCAAGATTCTTGCTAACGTAAAACATGGACACAGTCATGCAATTACAGATAGTGGCTAATGGAGATGCTAATGCAGTACGAATTTGGGAAGAGTTCAAGATAGAAATATTAAAACTTGAATGGCATATGTCCTATAAAGTGATATCAGATTCTCATAGAAGTCGACTCCTTAATTATTTACAGAAAAATATGCTGATATCTATGACTTTCTGAACTTGGGAGCTTTATAAGTATCCACCTTTGCCTACAACATCAAATATATTTGGATAGTTACAACAATCAATCAGTAAGAAAAACCACGCAATATAATTTTAGCTTTTCAGGCAAACCGTAAGAATCAGAGAGGAGTTAATGCTGACGTGTTTGCTCATTGCAAGACAAGGAATGCTAAACTCTATTTTTATTCGCAATATTATCCCTATGATGATCTCAATCACGATGTAGAAAAAAAATTAGTTTAAATTGTTGTACAATATGTATGATAATTTTTAGAATTTCTATTATGGTAAAGATCATGTCTTGCTGTTCAGCAAAGTCTAATTCCAGTCCCATGTAACTACCTCTCATTGGCATTGTTCTCTCTAAGCAAAATGAGTTACTGAAAAATGCTCCAGTTGACGTACGTTTAGAATGTGAATCTCACGGTAATTTTCCCAACAACACATCAGCCTATTGCTTAATTCTGCATGATTAGTTGTAAAATACAATCCGATGAGTGGCGATGTCAAGAAACTTATATAAGTTGGTGTCGGGGATAGATGATGGTAATAGGGGTAAAACTATAAAGGCTTGCGCCTAGTCCTCTTAACATCATTTGTTTTTCAACCGTTATAGAGAAAGTTCTCAACAGCTGCAGATGGAGCAGAGAAGAAGAAGAGAATAAGCGAACATAAGAAAGAAGAGTAGAAAATATTTGAAAAGGGACATAAGAAGAAAGAATCTGGACAGAAATGTACTACACCTACGTGTAGTATTAAGAACTTTTAACCAAGACTGATACATAACTACTAACATCATTCATCAATCAACAGTCATGGGACAAAATCAGAGTGCAGAAAAAATGTACGATAGAAAATACGAAGAGTGTGAAAACTTCATTGAGAGATAAGTAAAGTGGACTGAACAGAAGATGAAAAAAGAATCAGAAAAAACTAATGAAAAATAGTGATTCACTAGAAAAAATAACATCAAATACACTATATATATATATATATATCTCGAGCTCTCGGTC